ACGTTTTCTCATTTCTGGTGCTTCACCTGGCCAGAGCAGCCCCTCAGAATCCAGCGGGCCTGACGGTGACCCCCGGAGCCTGGCCCTCTCCAGGCTGAGCCGTGCACTTCGCTGAGCCTTGGCTGCCACGTCTGCCACACGGGAATGGCAGAGCGCCCATCTCCTACTGCTGATGGGAGAAGGGCGAGGGGAGCTCCCTAATCAACCACACCACCAACTGAAACAATCACCGTAACTTACACGGGCCGAGCTTGGAGTTAAGCACCTTCCTGCAATACCTTTCTAAACACTGGGAGGTGGGGGCAGTTAGGGTTCCCTTTGTACGGATAAAAGAATTCCAGGGCTTGCCCCGGCCCCCAAGTAGGAAGTGGCCCAGCAGGGATTTGAACCCACACTGTCTGGCTCCAGAGCCTAGTTTCCGCCCTCTCCTTTGTGTCTTTCCCAGCCTCTGCTCTGCTCTGTGTCCTAGCCACCAGCTCCAAGACCTGGCCCAGGTCACCTCTCCCTGCCACGGTCTTCTCCCCTATCCCAGCACACAGGGAGGTTGGGCCAGGCCCTCTGGTGGCTCCACCCCTCAGCACACATAGCTTTATGCTTCGCGTCCCTGGGTCTTGGGGGCAGCCCCAGGGCCTGCCAGCCAAGCCACCTGACGGCATGAGTTTTAGATGCCCTTCAACACGGCCTCCAGTGGACTTCCATAACTCGAGCACTTAACCTTAATAAAAGGGGAGAAGAGGAAAAACAGGTGTGACAAAAAGAGGAATCCGCCAGGCTTCCTGGATAAGACCAGCAGCTCCCACACCCCACACGAATTGCCCTGCCTCTCCGGGCCTCGGTTTGGCACCTGAACAAGCCCTCTGGGACCATGGGACAGAAAGTTCAGGAACCCAGACTCCCAGGAGTCTTCCCCCGACCTCTGAAAGGACAGATGGCTCCCTAGATGCAAACAAACAGTAATACTAACAACCAGTCATCGCTGAAGGGCTCCTGCTTGCTGGGCTCTTACTCTGATCTGCTCAACCGCCCTAGCAGAACAGGGTTCCTCAGCCCCTCCTGCAGCTGAGAACGCTGATGCCCAGAGACAGCAGGTAATTGCACTGGATCCCACAGCCAATGCTGGCAGTGCTGAGGTTTGAACCCAGGACTTCTGCGTCCACTCTTCAATGCTGCCTGCTCCCACCAGTGCGGAAATGGGCCACACGCAGCCCCTGCTCCCGCAGCACCGAGTCCAGGAAAGACGAGGCATGTTCGTAAGGACCCCAGCCCAAAGCTGGGCCCCCGGAGAGGGCCGGAGAGCAGGCCCTGCGCACACAAAGCAGGGACCAGGCAGAGCCAGCTCTACGGGATTAGGGATGACTGACTGCGGAAAAGGAATGAGTGCAAGTAGGGGTGACACCAGAGCTGGGCGCTGGTGGGGGAGACCTGGGGGGTGAAGGGAAGTGGCTGGGGTGCAGCAAACTCACCGTCAGCAGAGACATGGAAGCAGGAAGGGAAGGGGTGCACACAGGGAGGGAGAAGCTGGCTCAGCTCCAGGGCTGAGGGGGACAGGAGATGGGGGCACTGCGGTCACATGGCCGACCTCCCGGACCTCACCTTCCCGTAAGTAAGTGTTCATTTATGATACACGTTTTAAGATTTGGTAACTCCAATCTGTATCAAAAAACAAAACATAGGAATGAAAGTGGCCAGGAAGCCCCTTAACACAAACTCCCCTCTACCTAGAAAAGAGCTTCATCGCCGGTGTGACTCCTTTGGTGACAGACTGGCTCTAGCCCTGAGGCCACACGGTCCACGCCATCCATGTCCACCCCTTCCACCAAGCTCCAAACCTCCTTAAACCTCTATTCAAGGAAGGAGCAGAGTAAGCCTGCCCCATGCCCCACCCCTCCCACTCCTTACCTTCAAACCCACCAGGCCTTTCCTCCAACCCCTGCCCATTCAGCCTGATTCATGGTTCAGCTTTTTCCTCATATTTGGGGGAAGAGAAATTGAACCCATTTCACAGATTGGGGAATGGGAGAAAAAGGTTCCAGTCCTCTGTGAAACCACAGTCCCTGGCAGCACAGGCTCTGGCAGCTGAGCGCAGTTCCCGAGAGGCCCCTAGTAGGTCAGCTGGGCTGCACCTGTTCCAGGGGGCAAGGGCCCTCCCAGGTGGAGCACTGCGGGCCCAGCATCTGTGGGGAACTTCCTGAGAGGTGCGAGAAGGGGCAGTTCTGAAAAGCTATGAGAAACACAGGATGGATGTGGGCCAACCACCACCCTCAGTGTTGAGGTTCTACAGTAAAATGGAACTGAAAGAGGTCACCCAGGCCTGAGCCTCCTTGTACATGCTTCCTGGACCCTCTCCAACCCCTCTGCATACCTTTAGCGACAGGGACCTCGCCTCCTGGCTGAGGAGCTTATTCCTGTTAACTCCCCTGTCACCTTGGTGCTGTCTGTGCCCACAGGAGCTACACAGGATAAGAGTATGCCCTCTGCCTGTAGAGAGCCCTCCAGGAACTTGAAAGCTGTGACACTGTCACTTAAGTGTCCTTGCCCAAACCTTAGACCACCTGTGATGGCTCCAGTCCCCAAGGCAGCTACCAAGTCTGGCAGCCCCTCCTGCTTCCCTCTCAAGCCCACGGCCTGAGTCAGACTTTGGTCAGCTCGCTGCTGGACCACGATTAGCGTCATCTCTGGGCTGGTTGCAACCCAGCCAGTCTTGCCATCATTTTTGGCCAAATGACCTGGGCAGAAACAGTTCAGGCCTGCGTTCAAATATAGCTCTGTAAGTGACTCGAGCCCTCTGAGCCTCCAGCTCCCCGTCTGAAAACGGGGCAGGGGTGGGGGTTACCAGCAGCAGCCGCTCCTTTGCAGGGGTATTGTGAGATTTCAATGGAGCGTCTGTGAGAAGCCTGGCACAAGGCACAGTACCAGGCATCGACTCAACGAGCTGCTTACAACCCTCTGTCCTCCCCACCAGCGCAGGACAAAATCCAAACTCCCGTGCAGATACAGCAATCTGCCCACAAGCTGCCCACACCGATCGCGTCGCCCACTGCCCCGATCACCCGTCTGCAGTCTCACCAAAACTTCCTCCCCCAGGAAGCCCTTTGGACAGTAAGGGCCTGAGGAACCCTCCCCTCCCCTCTATCACTGACCAAGTCCGCCATCACTTGATCCTTCTTGCCTTCCCTCCCCCCTCAGTTCAGCAGCCTCTCCAGTCAGAAACCAGCAGCACCTTCAGCTCACTTCCCGTCTCTGTCACCCCGTCCACAGACATTTTCCATATATATTTAACAAATCACCCTAATGTTCCACTTCAAGTAAAGAATGTCCAAATCTTCTCAACAGCCCACATATTTCAAGCCATACTCCAAAGCAAATTCTAGCCCAGCAGAAATCTGCCCCGTCTCCGGGGACTTTCAGGCCTGGCTTTGGTCCCAAAGTACATGGAAGACAGGTCACGCAGGCCCCCCCCCCCCCCCTGCACAGGGCAGAGGGAGACTGGAGTCCATTTCTAAGTTTCTCAGATACAGAGTGTGTTAGCTGGCTCCTAGGAAAACACCAGCCTATGATTTTATATCTGTGACCACATCCTCAACTTGCAATTGCAAAACTGTTCCTTGCATACCCCCTTGTTCACAGGAGCCTAGCTTTCCATCCTTTCTTGCTTTGCTGGCCACCTCCCTTCACCTGTTGATTCTCCAAGAGGCCTCTCCCTCCTCCTGCCTTGAGCACAACAAAGAGAGTCTGACCACGCGCGAACAGTCACCCCCACTGTACGGGACTCCTTTCAGCCTCCTGGCCCCTCCACTCATTTCCCTGCATTTCTGAGTCCCCTCAAAGTCCAGCTGGTAGTGGAATTTCCATGGGTTTCCCACAAGCTGAAAGCGAATTGTGCACCCAGAAGGGCCCGTATTCCCAGGGCCAAGGAAAAGCCTACAGACCCTGAAAGTCCAAGGCGTAGTGCAGGAGCAGCCCTCGGAGCGGTTTCAACAGCAGTGCACCAACTTCATCTCCCAAGAACTTCCCTCATTACCTGCCACCCTCCGTTGTTCTAAAATGTCATTTATGAACTAACAATTTGCTTTCCATGTTTTAAGAAATCGCTCAAAGCCCCATGAGACGGTGCCCCCAGCACCGGGACTGAAGCCAGTGGGAGTCCTCGCTAGCCCACCAGGTCACTCACGGGGTATTTTGTGAGCACCCACAGTGCACCCTGGGCTCCGACACCCACGCACACGTGCATTTTCCGTTAGGATCCTGCAGTCCTGACGCTGGCTCAAAGTCCCCTCCCCCTAACTGTCCTCAAGGCCCTCTGGGGCTCGGGCACCTAGAGCAGCCCATAGCTTAGCACTGAGGTCTCTGATGATGAGTCACACAAGAGGACAGACAATAAGATATCAATCCCCTCGCCTCAGATCTCTCATCACCCCAAGGGCTTCGATTCTGGGCCCTACCTCTGCCCCCTGCTAATCTGCAAGTGACTCAGTCTAATGGAGATGAAAGGCACTGCTCTCCCCTGGGTGCTGGGGAGAGGTCTGTTGACAAAGCCACCAGCTGTCCCCAGCCAAAAGCCAGGGAGTCGGGCTCCTCCCTGTACCACCCGAACTGGGAGAGCACTCCTGCCAAAGATTCAGCCAGTGACAGAAATTGGACCACCACGGAGCTGCAGGCGCAGGCTCCAACTGCCTTCCCCTCCTGCTCCAGCTGCCCACAATAAGAGCCAGGGCATAAGACCTCACCCATAGCAGCAGCAGCCTTGGAGCATCACTTGGGGGTAAGGGTGGTGGGAAGAGGGGGCAGGTGTCCTCATAATTTCAACTGAAATGAAACTCCCAGCTGGGTCACAGCAGGACCTTATGGAGTCCTGTCAGCTGAGACTCAGACTGGGGGAGGGGAGTAGAAACCAAGCCTTGCCACTTCCCACCTGTGGACCTTTGCTGTTCTGTGCCTCGGTTTCCCCTCTGTAAAATGTGGTTAATAGTAACACCAAAGAATGAAATAAGAACACATACAATTAGCCTGGTGCCTGGCCCACGGGAAACAGACATTCAATACTTGTTGAATACAAGCATGCCACTGCTGACTGAGGTCCCAGAGGTGCTCACGTCATCCTTATTCTGGCAGATGCTCTAGTCTGCCCGTTTCACAGGTGAGGAAACTGAGGCTTGGAGAAGGTAAGGCACCAAGGTCACACAGCTGGGAAGTAACAAACACCCAGGTCAGTCCAAACCTCAGACCAGGGGGACAGTTCTGCCCCAGACCATTCTGAATGCTTTGGGGGGGAGTTGTGTGGGGGCGTGGTAATAGCAATGGGGCGTGACTAGAGTTAGGGTTCTGTACCCCCTGGCCCTGGCATGGCTCCTAGCTGACCCAGGGGCTCTACTCTAGGAAAGAGCCAGGAAGCCAGTCCCCAGATTCCCCGCCTGCCCAGAGCCCGTCACGCGTCCACGGGTGCCCCCTCCTCACCCGGTCTCAGGGTGTTAAAGAGTAGCGTTCAAAGCCGGGACTCGTTGCTCCCGAGAACCTAAGGGAAGAGAAGAGCTATAGACCAGGCCGCTCGCAGCCCAGAGAAAACCGGTCCTGCTGCCTTACCCTTCCCGAAGCCGGGACCCGGCCTCTAACCCCCTCCCTCGCCAGACAAAAGTTTCCCCTGTTTGGGAGTAGGGAAGGGGGGAAGGGGGAGGGGGCATTCCTCGTGAGTGACATTATCCGTGACCTACAGCTGCCGCGCTGCCCTCCAGCGCACCCCGGCCTGCCCCCGGCCCCCACGCGGTCCCCCACCCCTTTGTCCTCCCACCCCCAGCGCCGGGCCCGCCCGGCGCCCGCCCGCACCAAACTTGCGCCGGCTGCCGCTGGGGCCCCGCGCGGCCTGCACGCCGGGCTCGGCCCCGCCGTTTCAGGGACCCGGGACCGCCTGGTCCCGGCCCTCCCGGCCTCTTACCTGCCACAGCCGGGGCGCTGCCCGGGGAAGGGGGCGCTCTGGCCGAGCCGCAGGACGCCGGGGTCCTCCGGCCGTGCTCGCGCCGCCGGGCTCCGGCCGAGGCGGAGGTTAACCCCTTCGCGGCCGCCTCCTGCCGCTCCCACCCCCGCGCCGCCGCCGCCGCCGCCGTCCGCCCCGCCTCCGGCTCGCTCTCCTCCCCCACCCCACCCTCCGGACGCCCAGCCCCCAGTCCCGGCCCCCGGCGGCGCAGGGGCAGCCTGCAGCCTTCCCCTCCTCCCGCCGCGGCGGGGTGGGGGTCTCCCTTCAGCCTGGAAGTTGAGGCGAGCTCCCTCGCCCCCCCTGGGCCCGCGGAGCGCAGACCGGCGAGCCCGCGCTCGGGGGAACCCCCCTAACCCAAGTCCCCGTACCCGCTGCGGCCCGGCGCCTGCCTCCCCGATCGCGGCCGTGGGAGCGGGGCTCGATCCCGTGACGGGGCGTGGGTGCGGGCCGGAGATCGGCCCGAGAGGCCCCGGCTGCCGGCGGGCGTGCGGCGACAGCCCCAGGGCAGGGGCCGGGGCGGGACCCCACGCTGCTATCCGGGCTGGATTTCTCGGCTTCCACCCGAATTCTCCCTCGGCTCTCCCGGCCGATTCGGTGCTGCTCGGCGACCACGTGACACAGACTGCCTTTGACCCCTGTCTCGGAGCGGGTAGGGGGCGGGGGCGCGGCGAGAGCCCCGGGGCGGGAGGGGGGTGTCAGATGCGCGACCCGTGAGGGCTGGGAGCTGCTGCCGGGCGTCCCGGAGGTGGTGACCCCAGGAAACAAAGCCCGGGGGAAACCAACAAGTTATTCAGGGTCAAAGAGGGAACAGCGCTCGGGGGTCGGAGAGGCTTCAGAGAGAACCAGGAAACAAAGACCCGCGCCCACCGCGCCTCCCCAGGCCCTGGGAGAGCCCTGGCCAGGCCCCGGGGGGCCTCCCGGCTCTGCCCTCAATGGGCTTAGGACGGCCCACCAAGGCTCCCACCATCCAGGCCTCTGCTGGTGTGACCCCTCCGGGGCAGGCCTTCCAGGCGCCCCCTCCCCACCTTTGCCCCAACAGAAAACCCCCTTATTTCCTTTATTATTTGGTTCATTTACTGCTTTCATTGTATACTAAAATGTCATCTCTCCCAACAACTTGTTCCCAGATGAGTCCCCAGAGCCCGGCACATAGCAGCAGGTGACCTTGTGCAAATTTCTTCTGCCAGTGAGCCTCAGTTTCCCACCCACAGTGTCATTTCAACCACCTCCACCACCCTGCAAGGGCAGCATCGCAGTGCTCATCCTCACCAAACGGATGGGGACCAGGAGGCCCAGAGCCCCAGATCAAGATTTCTGGGAGCCTCATGCACAGTGAGAGCCCCGGCCTACGCTCGGAGCTGACTGCTCCAGGCAGGGACTTCTTCCGATCACTGAGGCAGCCTACAAATGGGGGGAAGGAGGAATTTAATTAGTGAGCCTGAAGGAGCTTGCTAGTATGCAGATTACCAGGCCCCTCCCCCAGAGATACTGCTTCCAGATGGGTCCAAGATGAGGCTGGGCAAATCTGGAAAACAGCGCATTGGTGTCAAAGACCTTCAGAGGCTCAAGATCATCTAACTGGAGGAGCAAAGCTCAAAAACATGAACAGAACAGAGCAAAGAGAGGTAGAGAAGCCACATCTGACCCCGAAAGCAGGACAGACTCATCCTGGTCCCCCTCAAATGCAACCTCCTTTCGGTGAGAGGAAAGGCTTTTCAGCCAGATGAATGTCTCAGGGGAGGAAAGAGGCCGGAGAGCGGAACCAGGCTTCTAACTCCCAGACGCGTTCATGTGACAGCTTTGGGTGGAGCATAATCAGACAGAACCAAACCTAATGGTGGCGGCCACAGCCTCAAGTGCAGGCCCTGCTCAAAGATAGGTTTGTGACTTCCTAGCACACACTCCCAGCACACCTGCAAGATGACCAGGGAAATCAGCACCCACTGGCAAATTTTTCCTTATGATGTATGTTCCTGTGGTCTGTGACCTCAGATCCTTGAACGTGGTCTGAATCTTAGGCAGCCTCAAGAAGTCCCTGGAATCTTACTCATGCAAATCTCTGGTGTGGAAGACCGTTTCCATCCCCAGGAGGCCCCTGGAGCATCTTCTCTGTGCCAGGCACTGTGCTCCTGGCAAGGAGATGCAAGGCGTAAAGAGATGTGGGTTTGGAGATGCTCTGCATGTCCCTCCCTGTGTCCAAAAGCTATCAGAGCTGAAGGTGGGCTAGGGACACCTAGGGCAAGTGCTGTAGCCCACAGCAAGAGGAAAGCAGAATGAGGAAGCTTTGGGGGAAGGCGGCCTCTGACCTGGATCAAGAGGAATGGGTGGGGTGATTGGGGTAGGGAGATGGACATTCTCAGCACCAGGGACAACCTGAACAAAGGCCATGTGGAAAGCACTCTGGAAAAGCTGAGTGTTGCATGGGCGGCAGGCAGGGGGCATGGGGAGATGAGCGGAGGAAGCAGAAAGAATGATCAAGAAAACTGGAGAGAAGGGGTAGGAGCAGGTGACAAGTGACCTTGTGTGAGGAGCTCCACAGATGGCACATTACCTGAGGGCCTGTTGGAGGGAGAAGGTTGGTAGCAGGTGAAGGAAGGGGTAAGAGCCACACTGTAGGAAGGAAGCAGGGAAGGAAGGTGCCCTGAGCTGAGTGAGAGACTGCATCTTGCCATGTGAGCTGCAGATTCACTGCTTTGGGGGAGCATCTGTGAGTTGCTGTGACCCCCATCACTCATGATTCTATTTTCTTCAGGTTTTCAGAGCTGCTGCTCACCAAGCTGGATTCAAGGCCCTCCAGCTCACCGTCACCCGGAAGGCCTGGAAGGAGGCAAGGCCAAGTGTCCCCCACCCCCAGGGAAGGCCTCCGTGGGTCGCAGTGAGGCTGAGGACTCGCGTATCTAACCACACCCTGGGAGACTCCGGGAAGGCTGTCCTGCTCCTCCTCCCTCTCAGGACCCACCCACATCTCCCAGAACTTTGGGGACCTTCTCTGTGCTGACAATCACCGCTGCCCAAACCCCTCCTCAGCCCTAAATGGCCTCCCCCTGCCCACTGAACACTCCCTTGGCCGTCCCAGGACACCTTTCTCCGGCTTCACAAGTCAAAGGCTGGACTCGTGGTCCACCCATTCATTCCTGTGAGCTCAATTCAGAAATCCGACACCAGCCCCTTGTCCCCAAACCACCCATTCACGAGCCAGTCCCACTGGTTCAGCCTCCAGCTTTCTCCCTAACCCACCCTCAGTTCTCCATCCCTGCCACCCTAGTCCAAGCCACCATCTTGTCTCTGCCTTGTATTAATGTCTTGTCTTAACGGCCTCTTAAACACTCTCCCCGCCTCCTGCTGTGTCGTTCCGAAGCAATCTCCTCGCACCCAATTCCTACTTAAAACCACCAACAGCTTCCTACTGCTCTGAGGTGAGTTCCCTGCCTTGTCACGCAGTCTACTGTCTTGTCCGAATTGGTCCCCCCGCTTCACCTTTACTTAGTTCCTCCCTGAGTGTGGACTCAAGCCAGGCTGCCTGGGTTTGAGTGCTGGCTTTACCCCTTCCAAGCTGTGTGACCTTAGGCCAGTTTTCCACCTTTCTGCGCTCAGTTTCCTCATCTCCAAAGCAGGGGTAGCAGTAGTGTGTACTTCAGAGGGCTGTTGTGAGAATTACATGAGCTGAATATATAAAGTCCTCGGTGTGGTGTCCGTCACGTGATAAGCACACGATAAGCCTGGGTTTGAATGCCGGCTTTGCCGCTTAGACACTAAGTGGTTAATTGTGACCCTTTGGGGATCAAGTTAAATTTCATTTCCTCCTGCTGCTTTCCTTACACCCCTAATCCAGACTATGATTCCTGGTCTATTTATCATCACCCCTGGAGTTACTTGTCACCTGCCCGTCTCTCTAGAATGCACACTCTGCAGTGGGGGCGGGGGCGGCACATTTCTCAGCTCCAGGCACAGGGTAGCGACCCGCACGTACTAACTGCCTAAGCAGGTGCAACCGAAGTTCATAGAGTTATCAGAGCACAGAGGACACTGTGTCCCTGCGCAGTACCCACCAGTGGTACTTCATTTGTTTGTTCCTTCGACGTTGGTTAGTTTCTCTCTCACACTGTTCCTCACACCATCCTTGGCTGGCAGGGAGTAGAGGGGCACAGAGATGAACGAGAAGTGAACAAGGCCCCTGTGCTCAGGAATGTATCGTCTGCCATGTAAATGAATCAGAAGATACAATACGATATGTGGTTAGAAGGTCCGTAACAATTTTGTTTCCCAGGAGGTCTTCAGAGCAATGAAAGTGAAACGTAATGGAAACCAAATACCGCTGCCCATTTCAGCCAGCATCCCGGGGTCCCTGAGTGCAAGAAGGGAAGGTCTTCTCCCAAGGGCATCCAGGCCACCCACTTTCTCTGCCTAGAGACCTGGTCAGCCTTCAAGGGCCCGCTGAAGCAGCACTTCCTCCAGGAAGTCTTCCTGCTCCTGCTGTACGGACCCCAGTCAGGAGTGATTTTCTGGGACTATAGTGGGATTTGTCAAGGACAATTCAAATTTCATGTCATTTGCTTCTTTAGAAAAGTGAAAGGTGATCCAATGAATGTGTAACTCAACATGATTTCATGTTGGTCTTCAGTGGAGGTAGAAAAATAGCCTCTGTCAGGGCATGTGACTTGATTTGTGGTTGGATAACACGGCCACCGTAATTACAGCACTGACCACAAAGTGTAACAGTTTCCTCCCTGCCCCCCCTTCACACACAGCAAATCCTTCCAAGGCCAGGGCTGTTTGCTTCTAGCAGAACTTGAAGCAAAGTTCTGATAAAGGAGAAAATCCGTGAAATGGGATGGTAATTCATGCTTCTGAGAAACAATGAATATAAAGTGTTCTGGAGCCCTGGCTGGTGTAGCTCAGTGGATTGAGTGTGGGCCTGTGAACCAGAGGATCACAGTTCGATTCCCAGTCAGGGCACATGCCTGGGTTGTGGGCCAGTTCCCAGACAGGGACACATGAGAGACAACCATACATTGATATTTCTTTCCCTTTCTCCTTCCCTTCCCCTCTAAAGATAAATAAATAAAATCTAAAAAAAAAAAAATGTTCTGGAAACCAGCCGGAGACTGTGAGGCGGGGGACAGGAGCAACGAGCAGTAATTGGTTACTGACTCGGGTGCACGGCACACGCCTTCCACTCGCTGCTCGGCGGTTCAGAGAGCACGAAGCTCGGAGAGGCCAAGCAACTGCCCCCAGGTCACCCCGGCGGGAGTGGTAGAGATGGCCTCAAATCCAGATCTATCCACAACCGAAGGACCACGTTCTTCTCACTGTCTGTGTCACCCCCCCCACACACACACCGTGGGTCTGCCCGGGTCTGGGCTCCGCCCCTCATTTCCATGGGGCTCTGTCCCCACCCTTCTCTCCCGTGACGCCTGTTGTGGCGAAGGCCGCTGCTGTTCAAGGAGCACGGGCAGCTGGTCTCCACAGCGGTCCGCTCCGCGGCCAGGCTCCTGTCGCAGAGGCAGGGTCTGAGGATGCGGCCACACCTTCCCCTGACCATCCCTGACTCCCCGGAGCCGCCACTGGGCCAGACACTCCTCTGGCACAGCCCCTGCCCCCTGTGGCAGTTTTCCTGTCTTGTTTTGTTTTTTTGTAAAGCGTCTTCCCATTCTGTAAACTAATTCCTGGGGCCCCACAGCAGTCCTGAGAGGTAGACACAGTAGAGAATTTCACCACATTTAAAAAAATGATTTATTTATTTATTTATTTTTAGAGAGGGGGAAGGGAGGGAGAAAGAGAGGGAGAGAAACATCAATGTGTGAAAGAAACATGGATTGGTTGCCTTTCACACGCCCCGAACCAGAGACCTGGCCCAAAACCCAGGCATGTGCCCTAACTAGGAATCGAACCAGTGAGCTTTCAGTTCATAGGACAGACAGCATGCAGTCCACTGAGCCACAGCAGCCAGGACTCACTCTGTTTTAAAAATGAGGATATGGAGCTTCGGCCAAACTGTGGGAGATACCCTCAGCTTGCAAAGGAGCCGAGCTGTGCTAAACATTTTTTTGGACCATCTGGCCACATTTTTCCGAGTCTCTGGAGGGTTCAACTTGACCTAGAGAACAGGGCAGGGGGAGTGAAAGATCTTTAGAATCCTCACACCCAGGAGATAATGGCTTTTGTAAACAAATGTAAATTGCTTAATTTCCCTTTTTTTACGGTGTTCATTGTGATGCTCCAATTACAACCCAGCAAAGAAAAACACTCAGAAGCATGTGTGGTCTCTAAATGCTGCAACAGAAATCAGCTCAAAGTCCTCTGAGGGCAACTCGGGGCTGGGCCAAGTTCAGCCCCCACGGGGCAACAGGTGCCCAGGCCCAGAGCTGGGCGAACTTTCCCAAACCTCTGCTCTGACCTCGCCCCCACCCAGGCCTCATCCCAGCCACTCCTCCGCTCTCTGTCCTGCTCATTGTTCAGTTCCCTTTCACTCGATCACCTGGAGTGAATACTTTTCATAGCGTTCAAAGCAAAAGATTATATTAATTTAAAGAGAGGGTGGGATTTCTCCACAAGATTTCCACTGATTATTTTAGTTCATTCTCACCAGTCCCTGGGGTAGGAGGTAGACATAAAAATTCCCACTTTCTAGTTAAAGAAACTGAGGCTCAGGGTCCCGGTGCCTCCATAGCACAGGTCCAGTGAAGCGGGGACGATGGTCAAGGTCACCTGGTCTGGGGGCGTTGCTGCCCAGTTCTCCGTGGCCACCACTCCACACACACTCTCCCGGTCCACTTTGTTGGTTTGCATTATTCTCCTGGGCGGGCCTCCTTTTGTCTTAGTTTAGGATTCCTTAAATAATTCAATCCACCTCCTTACAGAAATGAAGCAACTGAGGCCCAGGGAGCGGGGAGCAGGAGCAGGGGCCTGCCCCCGTCGCTGGTGTCGTGGCTGCGCTGGGACCACCGGGGAGGCTCCTGCCTGTCACTCTCCCCACTGCCCAGCCGCGTGTGTGCATCAGAAGCTGAGAAAGAGGTGGCACCAGTACGGCGAGGCCCACAGGGTCAAGTCTCAACACCATTCCTGAGCCCTTGCAGATGTGCCAGCATGGGGGGCAGGGAGGGGCAGAGTGTTGATTCCAGTGTTGGCTCTGGGATCTTGGCCAGGTGGCCAGACTCTGTCTGGGGTTATTTGCTCCAACAGGCATGGAGATTCTTATCATTCCAAGGTCCTCCATTCACACCCACCTGTAGCTGAGGTTGGGAGAGGGAGGTGTGGGGGAACTGGCAGGGTTACACCCCCACACACAGGGCACAGCTGCACTGATCCACTCGTAAGCGGGGCCTCTGCTCACCCCCACCCACCACCCTCCATTTAGTGGTTAGAGCTTTGTGGTAGGTTAGAGGGTCGTCCCAATACGCCAAGGTCGTGGGCTCCATCCCCAGGCAGAGCACACACAAGAGTCATCCAATGAATGCGCAAGTAAGTGGAACGACAAATCTCCCATCTCTCTCTCGTGTTAATAAATAAACTTGTTTTTAAACAAGTACTTTGGAGCCAGACCATCCGTCCTGTGTCGGAATCTACGGTCAGCCCTCACTTACAGTCTCATAACTTGGCTTCAATTGCTTGTTTGTAGAGTGGGGATAATAGTACCTCCCTCAAAGTGTTGTTGAGAAGATTAAATATTAGGAAGCCACTCAGTGCCATGCCTGGCATAGCTATAGTTGTTACTGTCATCTTGCCCAACACCTCTCTCTGCAGCTCCCCGGGGTTCATCTCAACACCCCCCCACCGCACGCACACACACACACACACACACACACACACACACACACACACACGGAGGCTAACTCCCAGGCCGTCCTCAGCCAGATGACCCACCCTCACAGACCTGTCACCTCTGACCCCTCTACTCCAGACAGCCTGGGGCTCTCGAGGCCTGGGTACGTGCCATGGGTGCCCAGCACCCACCTCTGCCCAGAATGCACTCACCTCCACATTTTCACAAGTCTCGCAGCCCCCTTTCCTTGAAGTCCCAGCTCCAGCCACATCTCCTCCAGGAAGCCTTCCCTGACTGGCCCCTGGTCTTCCTTCTCTGAAATTCTGAGGCCCTCTGAGTGAGTCACTGCCACTTGGCACTCAGTCAGCGAGAAGGCCTCTTCCTTCTTCCTCCCTAAAGTCTCCGAAAACTGGAAAAAAGCATTTCCCAGGCAGATTTGGGGCCCCTTTAATCCCCCTCCTGATTCCTGTGTCACCTCAAGTTCTAGCCACTGTGGTCACCCATCACGCATCTTTGTGGAGCTGGAAACAGAGCGAGGCCGACAGGCCATGAGCACAGGCCACTTACCCAGGTGGACAGACAGGCTAACTTACAAACTGGGAGACGCTGGAAGGCCCCTCAACCCGTTATCGGAACAGTTCTGCTCAGGGGTGGGGAAGCCGAGGTCATCTGCATCTGAGGGTCCCTGCTGGGGGAGGGTTTCCCGAAGCCCACCTACAAGAATAGGTGTCAAGATGGGCCCTGCAGCCTGCAGGACCAGACTCCCACCTTTCATGGGGCAGATGTGGATTTGCTCACAGAGGCGGCGAGGGGCCTGCAAAGTGCTCAGCAGGCCACCCATGAGGTTGAAAGAAGCCGTGGGGAGTGGGTCCTACCCGACTCAGGGAAACGCTAGCCATCCAAAAGCCCAGGAGCTTCAGGGACAGTGAGCTCTCCACCAAGTGGCAACCTGGGAAGGGAAGGGGCAGGCAGAGGCTGGTCAGCACTGCTCGGGGTACCCCAAATACTATCATTTGGACATGTAATAACATAAAGAACTTATTAATGAGATGTTTTAAATTCTTCCTTTTGGACCGAGCCCTCCAAACCCTCTCTGTGTTTTATACTCGCAGCACATCTCAGCTCAGACTGATTGCACTGCAGGTGCTCGGCGGCCACAGTGGCAAGTGGGTGCAGTGCTGCCCCGAGTTTGGAAAACTCAAGTCAATGACTCACTTTTCTCAAATTCTAGGAAGCTGAGCCTCTGAGGTTCTAGAATTCTGCGGTGGATGAAAGTTCTGTAATGCTACAACTGAGATTCCACCGGATTAAAATGTCTCCCAGAGCCCTGGCTGGTGTAGCTCAGTGGATTGAGTGTGGGCCTGCGAACCACACGATCACGGTTCGATTCCCAGTCAGGGCACATGCCTGGGTTGCAGGCTGGTTCCCTGCAGGCCAGTTCCCAGCAGGGGACACACAAAAGGCAACCATACATTGATGCTTCTCTCCCTCTCTCCTTCCCTTCCCCTCTAAAGATAAATAAATAAAATCTTAAAAAAGGGGGCTTCCCCTGACACGCCCGTGTGTGGAAAGAAACGAGGCCCATGCAGAGCCCCTGGTGGGTGAGGGAGCAAGGAGCTGTCCCCTCCGCTGCCTGCACCGTCCGGCCCAGTCCGCAGAAGCAGGGTGGGCGTGCCCGTGCGCCCAGGGCGCTGGTCTCTCCAGCCATCCCTCCAGCTCGTCATCTCTCCATCTGAGCGCACAGGCCAGAAGTGCAGTTCCTGCCTCTGAGTCCTCCTGGGGAGGGCGTGCCCCTGCCTCCCCCTCCTGGTTTCTGTCCACTCCGGAGAGCCCCTGGGGACGGCTGCAGCAGATGGAGCTGGGGAGTGTGATTAAAACCCCATGTGGAATCCCTGGAGGGTGGAAATAGTCTCCCGTTTGCTTGAGGCTGCAGCCTGGAGAGCAGAAGTCAGGCCTGGGGAGGGCAGAAGCCAGAGACCCACTGTCTGGGGCTGGGAAGGCCAGAAGTCTCTCCGTGGTCCTCTGATACATGCCCCAAATGGTTCAGATGGGAAAGCAGAAGGCATTTCCTAAGCCAGGCACAAGGTGCCCGTCAGCCATGGTTCCCCTCTCCCTAATCCTACACTCCATCTCCCGTCTCTGCTTTCATTTTCAGGAAAAGTCAAGCTGCAGACCCAGCAGGGCAGAACGTCAGGGAGGCTGTGGGGAGGCCCCACCCCACAGCGTTATATTCAGGTGGCTGACTTCTTGGGCTTGGGGTGCTCATTCCAGGCCCAGGGACCTCCTGGTTCCAACCTCGCCCTGGGCTCCCCCTGGCCCATGCGCACAGGTCCTGCAGAGGGTCTGGAGAGCAGGGGCTGGAGCACAGGACAGAGTCTGGGTGAGGCGGAAGCTGGCGTGGGATGGGAAAGGTCTCAGTCAGCAATGCCCAGCGCCTGTGTCTGCTCCATCATCCAGCCCTGTATTCCATTGCAAAGTCCTTTTGTAGCCACAGTTCCATCTCATCCTCAGAGCCCAACAGGAAAGGTGGGCAGGAGGACTTTCCCAAGGCACGTAACCCTGCGGCCCAAATGCCGTGCAGAGGCTGGCACCCCCGCTTTGTTACTCTTCCACTCTTTGCAGGCAGGGAAACTGAGGCCCAAAGTGGGGCTATGACCTGTCTCAGACAACAGAGCCAGAGAAAGACCCCTGTGGAACCACTGGCTGGGCACCCGCCCAGAGAGCCCCCACCTTGCTCTGCCCGCAGCACGCAGATACTCTGCAGCCAAGGAGACAAACATCAGGAGTCACCTGCAGTCATGCTTTTTCCAAGCCGAGCTCTTTCCAGGCTGGGTTTCCCCGCTGGGGAAAGCCCCAAGGCTGCTCTGAGCGGTCCAAAGAAGGGAGGAAATGACAGAGATCCTGCTAGAAGGCAGCAGAAAACAGCCGGACCTTTGGTTTCTAGGATCTGGCTCTGCCAAAGTAGGCGGGGTGCGGGGCAGCACGAAGGCAGACCCCGAATCCAGATTTGGAAAAGCACAAACTTGGGAGTGAGGCGGCCTGGGTTCGAGTCCCAGGGTGGGTCCTCACCAGCCGTGTGATCTTGTGTCCATGACCTGGCCTGGGTTCCCTCCTCCGGTGACTGGCGGATGCCCACCTCCAGGGCAGGGGGGTTGGCGTGTACACACGCTAAGCCCATAGCCGGTGCTGAATAAGTGTTAGTTCTCTCTCAAATGCCCCTCCAGGAACCAACCAGACCCAGGCCCTCCCAGTTGCTACCCTTTGCTGCCATAAATATGGTCCATAAATACTTATTGATTAAATAAATGAATGGATGATTGTTGCCAGCCCAAAACACAGCACAATGCAGGGGGCAGCTTTGGACTGTTCTGTCAGGAGATCTGGCAGACCACCTCGACTCACTGCACGGCCCCAGGCTTTGCTCAGAACCTTAGAGCACGGAGTTCTCCCAGTAGCACTCTGAGAATGGGTGACTATTACCCTGTGTTCCAGATGAGGAAACTGAGGCACAGTGAGGCTAAGCTGCTGGTCGGCAGCCATGCCTAGAGGTGGAGCTGCCATCCTGTCCCCAGGGCGCATGGGCCTCCCTGGGGAAGGGCCAGGACTCCTGTCCGGAAGGAGCTCCCCGCACCCAGGCTGCCGCTGGCGCTGCTCAGGGTGTCCTGTGGGGTTTGGAGGTTCCTGTCAATCGGATGAAGTGGGGGCTCTGCCCACTCAAGACTGTTGCTTGGGTCCTTTGTCAGAGACTAATTATCACTATTTTCTGGGTGTTTCCTGCCCAGAGGGGGGAAGGAAGCAAGGGCTCCAGATCCTTTGTCCTCTCTCAGCTCATCCCCCCCCTCCCCTGCCTCCACTTCTGGACCTTCCTCTTCCTTGTCCAACTACTGACCTTAAACTTGAACTTCATTCCCAGGCAGACCTTCTAGCAACAACAACTCAGGGCTGTGCCCTGCCAAGAACCAAAGGTGCTTTCCTCTCCCGCTGGGCAGATTTGGAGACATCCTGCCCCCAGATGTGGGAGACGGGGGGTCGGCGACGTGCCAGTGACCGACATCAGTTTACAACAAGCTCCACAGTGATGGCGTGAGGTCATCCCAACCACCCTGCTCAGCAACAGTTCCACTGTCATCACCCAACTTAATAGAAAAGGAAACTGAGGCCCAGGAGGGTTAAGGGACTTGTTCCTGATTCTGCAGACATTTGGAGGCAGAGGCAAATGTTTACATCAGCTTCCAGATATTTATCATTATCATAATAAGTACAAATATTACTGAAAATATTTACCAAGCTCTGACTCTGCCAAGAGCTTTCCTCTCACGACTGCAGCAACCCTCAGCAGTACAGCCCACATCGCGGACAGGGAACTGAGGCACAGAGAAGCACGCCGTCTTCCGAGTCCATTATCAGCGTTCGCAGAGGGTCAAAGCCAAATCGGAACTCAGCCTGTCTGACTCCAAAGCCTCAGGTCTTACAGGCAAGACAGGGTCACCTCCCCCTGGGGTGCAAGGGTCACGGCGTTTCCTGAAGTGGAACCGGGGTGAGCCTGGCTTTGCCCCCCTGTTCATGGAGCTGCTTCAGGCCCAGGGAACACAACCGCTGGGAGCTCCCCAGACAGCAGGCCATGCAGGGCTTTGGGCACGTGGGGGCCACGTCTGTCTGTGTGCCCTCTACACGTACGTAACAGCAGTCCCTGGTCTAGGTCAATGTGGCCCTGTGACAGCTTCAC